TCTTATCCTATATTAGTAATAGAAAACATTGACTTGAGTAGATAATAGAAGTAGGACTTTTATGTCTTTTTATCAATTTATGTCATCTTTTAGGTCAACCATTATGTTATCATAGCAAGATCGATGGTGTGAAACCTAAAGATTTTGGGTGATGCTACATGTACACCTCATGATTTACACAATCCTTTACACCCCCTCACATGGAGGGGGGCCCACGATTATTTTATTATGTGTGGACCCCTCTCCATGTGAAAGGGGTGTAAAGAATTGTGTAAACAATTATGTACACATAGCTTTATTCAAAGATTTTTGTCTTGAAATTTTGGAAGGAAATAATTTCCAGGGGAGTTGCGCATTTGGGGCTCCAAGAAATTTCCGTGTAGTTTCCTTCATTAGAAAGTTCCATTCGAACGTGAAACGTAATTGAAAAGGGAAACACGGAAAGACACCAAAGACAAGAGACTTAGATACGGCCGCCTATACACAGTAAAATAATATAATAATAGGCCGTGCCATAGGTCAGCCACCCCTCAGGAGGCGAGCTTAGCTAACTCGCTTTTTAACTGCTACCTGGTTCGAAAATTGAATTTTTAATAAATTTCAATAAAAGTAAAAGAAATTTGTGATTAAAAAATTGATAAAAATTTGAGTCTCATAAAATAAATAATTAAAAATGGGTTTGAAAACTTTTTTTCAACTACTTGGCTATTTACTAGAGTACCATATTTAGCCTTTCTTTCTTCCATTTTATTCCCTCGACTCGAGCGTGATTACCAAAAATTAATCGGAAGATCTCCCAATTAATTAGTTAGGATTGATCGATCTTGAGATAAGTTTGTAGTGCTCTTCCTCGACATTCAGGCAATCGCAAGCTCATTCCTCCTATTCATTCAAGGTCAAATTGCGTGCTCTTTGTACCATTAAAAAGATTTTGCATCTGCGTGTAAAATTATTTTATTAAAAACATGTGTGACTTAAAATAAATTTTAAAAGAATGAGACTCGAACAGAGCTAACGGAAACCTCTGTCCACATTGAAATCGTCTAATAAGTTATTGGTCCATTTTGCGTAACACTTATTTCTTTACGAGTCCGTATTGGATGAAATTAGGGCATTTAGCCAATTTCAGTGCGAAGGCATATTATTAAACATGAAAAGTAATTTTAATTTCAATTAAAAACTTAAATTAACGTTTTCTGCGCCCTTATCTTTCTAATAACTCAGAAAAAAGTTGGTTGGAAAAAAGTCAAAAGTTAGGCTGTGTTTGATTGCAAGGGTGAAAAATGAGTGGAAAGAAAATGATTTACAGGGAAAATAATTGTCTAGAAAATGTTTTGCAGGGAATTGTAATTAATTGTGTTTGATTGATATAATTTTTCACTTGGAAAATGTTGA